GAAAAAAAAACTTTTTTTAAGTTCTTATTGTCTACATAAATATAAAAATCACTGCCTTTATGGCTTCTTCATGCTTTTTTCAGATTATTCATCACAATTTGCTTTTGTATAGTATTATTTTTATTATTATTATTATTATTAATAATAATTATATGCATATTTATATTTGTTTTAATGAAAACAAATTTCGATTTGTCTGTCTGCCGTATTTTTGAGAGGTATGCATAACCATATGGGGCAGAAGAATAGAACGTGTGTTTGAAAATATATATATATATTTTTTTTTTACCACACTTTGTTATTATTGTTCATTTATTCTTTGTTGGAAAGTAGAACTGAAATTAGAAATATTTGTGCTTAATGAACTAAATTAAATGTTTAGGCTAATGGATGTCTTCAGTGGAGTAAGTTTCCACCGTTTCCTTTTCTACGAAAGCAAAGGTTTGAAGTAAAGAAAAAGTAAAGAGGCCGAATGGAGGAGGCTCATTCTTTATCCTCGCTCTGCAGATGGTCTGTTTAACTGTTCTCTTGCAAGTGAAGCATTTAGTTTTAACACTTACAAAGTCCACCATGCAAATAGCAAATGTGCCATTGCACGATGCAACTGACTCTTAAAGGGACTGTGAGGTGAGACTCTGATTGGTTTAATGCACGTCATGCTCAAAGCACACCCATTACTCATTAAGAGAACAAGCACAACCCTGTTAGACCATGTGCCATGGCGCAAGCCCAATTTTTCTGTCTTTAAATTAGCAAAAGTGGATTCTGACACACTCTTAATGCTTTTAAACCATCTGCTTTTGACTTTGCGCCTAGATTGTTAAAATAGAGCCCAATGTCTCTTTAGGCTTTATTTTTTTATTTTGATTATTATTCTTTATTGTTGTGTATTCTATAGTCTTTGACAGTTTTGACCAGCAAACAGCATCAGTGTAATTTTGAATCTGTGCAGAAGTTTTGGGCCAAAAGTGGTGTAATAATAACGCATATTCATTATTTATTTATTTTTATTTTTTTTGCTTTCTAAGACCTCAATCAGTCATTAGGAGCCACAGGTAAACATTTTGTTTTTGACTTGCAATAATACTTTTTAACTTGCATTTTATGAATCGCCAGTGATTACAGTTTTACTTAAAAAGTTACAGTAAATACAGTTTTTATTC